ACTTCAAAATATACTACAAAGCTATAGTAATCAGCCCAGCATGATACTGGTACAAAAAGAGACACACAGATCAAGGGAACAGAATTGAAATTCCGGAAATAAAACCACACATCTACGGGCAGCTAATCTTCGATAAAGGAGCTAGGAACATACAATGGAGAAAGGAAAGTCTCTTCAATAAATGGTGTTGGGAAAACTGAACAGCCACATAGAAAAGATTAAAGGTGGACCATTATCTTTTCCCATACACAAAAATTAACTCAAAGTGGATCAAAGACTTGAAGGTAAGGCCTGAAACCATAAAACACCTAGAAGAAAATACAGGCAGTATATTCTTTGGCATGGGTCTTAGAAGAATCTTTTCGAATACTATGTCTACTTGGACAAGGGAAAGAAAAGAAAAAATAAACAAGTGGGACTTCATCAGACTAAAGAGCTTCTGCAAGGCAAAGGAAACCAGGAACAAAAGAAAAAACCCACCAACTGGGAGAAAATAGTTGAAAATCATATATCTGACGAGGGGTTAATCTCCAAAATATATAAGAACTCACACAACTGAACAACAAAGAAACAAACAACCTGATCAAAAAATGGGCAGAGGATATGAACAGACATTTCTCGAAAGAAGATATACAGATGGCCAATAGGCACATGAAAAGATGTTCAACATCACTAATCATCAGGGAAACGCAAATCAAAACTACACTAAGATATCACCTTACACTAAGGGCTATAATCACCAAGACAAAAAAGAGCAAATATTAGAGGGGATGTGGAGAAAAGGGAGCCCTCACATGTTGCTGGGAGGAAGGCAAACTGGTTCAGCCACTATGGAAAACAGTATGGAGACTTCTCAAAAAACTAAAAATAGAAATACCATATGATCCAGCTATCCCACTACTGGGTATTTATCCAAAAAACTTGAAATCAACAATTCAAAGAGACTTATGCACCCCTATGTTAATTACAACATTATTCACTATAGCCAAGAAGTGGAAGCAACCCAAGTGCCCATCAACTGATGATTGGATAAAGAAGATGTGGTATATATATATACAATGGAATACTACTCAGCCAGAAAAAGACAAAATCATCCCATTCGCAACAACACAGATGGACCTTGAGGGTATTATGTTACGTGAAATAAACCAGACAGAGAAAGACAAACAGCGTATGATTTCACTCATATGTGGAAGATAAACTAACACATGGACAAAGAGAACAGTTTAGTGATTACCAGAGGGGAAAGGGGTTTGTAGGTGGGCACAAGGGGTCAAGGGGTGCATTTATATGGTGACTGACAAATAATAATGTACAATTGAAAGTTCACAATGTTATAAACCATTAAGACCTCAATAAAAATTTAAAAAAAGAAGTACAGTCTCACCCAGCTCTTAGGAGTGGCACACAGGCAGATGCCACTCCTTGGGGATTGTTCAGCGGGAGGGACTGGTGTGGGGAAGAACAACTGGGAGGCAGTACCCACATCCAGGAATTTATTTACAAAGACCTTTGGAATCCTGGGTCAGGCTTCCCTACTATACACAGGGCAGTATTTCCCCAACTGATTCTAGACTTCCTGAGATAGATAATAGAATAGAAAAGTGGTCATCACGTCTTTACAGCGTATAAACAACCTACAGAAAGTTAGTATAGATTCTCCATCTACTACCTAGACTAAAGTCTCTAGAATATGATTCTAAAGCCCTATAAGCAATTGTAGCTGCCTTTCTGGTACCAGTCGCCCACTCTGTCTTCCTCTCCCCCTATCTTAACTTTTTCATATCCTTCTGTATGTTGCAACTTAGATTCATGAAACCTGTATTACTTTTACCATGAGAGAGGCAGATATTATTGAGAATTAATTAAATTCTTTTAGGACCTTTAACTGCTCTTACTAAAACATTTCACAAACAGGTTCAGTTTATTCTTATGCTTCACGTGTTTCAGATGAAAGGAAGGACTGGAATAATTGACCCATGTCCAAAATTTGTTCATCCTGGAAGACCGTTGGAAGATTAACAGAAAAGTTTCTATAATTCATCGTAACTATCTCAAAGATTATTTAATGAGAGACATAGTGCTATGAATTGTCTTTTTATTGAATTTTCTTTGCACTGCCATTCCTTTGGTAGAATGGAGCTCAAGTTAATCGATGATAACAGTTTCCCAATATTTACATTAAAGAGAGAATCTCCTATTTGACTCAAATCTCTTGCTGGTGATATGGTCTCATGATTTTTTATAATGTTTAAAATAGTCATTTAGATGTAAAAATAGTAGACTCTTTCTTCATACATGTTAATATAAATTTATTTTTATGAATACTAACTATATTTTCCAAAAATAATCAGTAACAAATTTCTCATTGCTTTACACTTTTTACAGGTTTAATCGGATATAACAAACATACCATACACTTTATCCATTAAAGGATACAATTAAGTGGGTTTCATTATGTGTGCAGAGTTGTGGAACCATCATCTCCTTCAAGATTAGAATAGTCTCATCACCCCAAAAAGAAATCCTATCACTCCTCTGTTCCCTCATTCCACCTAGCCCTAAACAACCCCTAGTCTACTTTCTGCTTCCAGATTTTCTGGTTCTGGACATCTCATTTATGTAGAATCATATAATATGTGGTCTTTTGTGACTGGCCTCTTTAATTTAGCATAATGTTTTCAAGGTTCATCCATGTCGTAGCATCTACTTCATTTATTTTTATAGCACTCATCTAATAGTCCAGTTTTCCACTGCCCCTTTCCATCACCATATTGCCAGGCCATTAGTCACTGCCCTTGAGTTGATAAAAACCCAGAGAAAACAGCACACAATTCAGCCCACTGAGCTAACTTTGTTTTACATTCCTTAACTAGAGTGGCAGCTTTCCAAAGCAGATGCTCTCCATTCACCTAGGAACTGCCATCCATCAACCAGTCAACTCTTTGTTAGTCAAGAGAGACCTGAGCACAGACCACTGCGCAAGAGACTGTAACATCCTTAAGTGGTCCCAAAGGCAGGCTTTGACACTAATGTGTACCTCTTTACATTCCCCTTAGCATGTTCCTCTATAAACCATTTTTATTTTCTTACGGAACTTCTGGGCACTACTCTCCCCATTAGAACATTTTTCTCACACCATCCAAGACATTATGGGTAAAACAAGTTCAAGATTATATCATGCCCTTCACTCATAGAGACAGTCTTAATTAATGCTTATGGCAAACTAGTAATTGTTTCTCGAGTGGACAAAATCCCAGTGATTTTGATATTTATCATTCTTATGCATGCCTTTCTAGGTAACAATCTGTGTTGCATTTTAGGCAGAGTGATGGATGTGTCTAACATAATGAGCCTCACAGTTCTTAAACCTGCAGCCCATAACTGTAGCAGAAGTTTACAAGTGAGACCATCACGGAGGAGGAGCTGGGTGGGACCCATGAACAAGTTCACGGAAAATACGAAGAATGGTGTGCACATACACGATGGCTGGTCTGATATAAGGGCCATGGCATATACAGTGTCAAAGATGGGCATCACAGTCCCGTTCAAAATCCATGCCAGGAGACTGAGTGAGCAGAGGATAGGGAGCAAGGTCCTCCTTAATGTTCTCTGTCCAGGGTGAGTGAGAACCATCATATAGGGACCTACAGCTACAACCACCCCCATAGAAGGAGCGGAGACCCATGTGTACTTGCCCCTTTTGCCCTCGGATGCTGAAGGGCCTCATGGAGAGTTTGTTATGGAGAAGAAAGTTGAACAATAGGAACCCCTCTTAGAGTTCCCTCCATGGTTCTCCATACATTACCTATCCTGATTTGACCAAAAGGATACTTACACGATCGAAAATATCCCTATCCACAATTTAAAAAAGAAGAATCGAAATATCCCTTTCAAGTACTCAATTTAACTTGGTTACTAATTCTGTGAAGTCTTTTGTGATTTCTTCTGTGATACAGGGGGAGAAAAAGTGGAATCAATGGCAATGAATGAAAGTCAATAGATGAATAAATGGTTCTTTGTAAATGTCCATTTGTGCAGATTGTTTACCTGCCAACCAGCTCAAAAATCTATTAATAAACCTAAAAGTTAGGTCAACAGAAGGACGGTATAACGCAGGGCTCAGCAAACATCATAGAAGCCAGTGAGTACATATTTTCAGCGTTGCAGGCCACATGGACTCTGTTGGAACTCCTCAGATCTGCTGAGGTAGCATGAAAGTAGCCATAGACAATACATAAACCAATGAGTGTGGCAGGGTTTGGCTTGCTGGCTATAGTTTACCAGGATCTAGTGTAATATGGATAACACCATGAAGGGACACATCTGGTGTAGTCTTTTTAACACCAAACACATTGGAAAAACACAAGTGCAAAGTGTTAACTATGAGGAGGCACTTAAGATACATCCATAAGAGAATCTGAGACAGTGGGGAAATTGAATATTGGTTGGGTATTAGTGGACATGAGAGAATTATTGTCAAATCTCTTCAATGTAAATGTGTGATTTGTGGAGGGAGGAAGTGTCATGAGGTCTACAGCATTAACATGGTTCTGCAAAATATATACAGCAGATGAACACAAAAATGTAGTAAAATATCATGGTTGTTCAAGCTAGTCTGGTGGATATATCGGATATATTCTTTCAAATTTTCTGTTTGAAAGCTTTCAAGACAAACATCTGGAAACCAAAAATGCTGGCTCTGTCCCCTCCCTGTGTGACATTAAGCAAAATACTGCATCTGCCTGTATCTCAGTACCTCAACTGTGAAATGGGGACAGTAGGCAGATGATTGTTGTGAAGATTGAATGTCCTGATACAGGTGAAAATGTTGAAACCGCGATAATAGTGCAAAGTGTCTTCTATCATGAGCCCCTGTGATTGGGACCTGACACCACCCAGGGCAGTGATGAGAAGCTTCTTACTGCCCAACACCATCCTGCCTCCCACTGGGCCTCAGTGAACATCCAGCACATTCCCTCCCTTCACAGAAGCACTCCATGTGGTAATGATTTACCTCTACTGTCATGATTATTCTTCATTCTTCACCAGTGATTTTCAGGGTTTCAGAAATGAAAAGGGACAGCCCAGGAAAGCAAGTGTAGAGCCCTTATTTTAAAAGTAAGCTTTACAAGTTTTCCCTTAAACAGGGCTGTTAATTTTCTCCCTGTTATTTTTCTTGTTAACTGACACCAGATGACGACAATGTCTAGGTCAACACCATAGCATCTCAACTGTTTGGAAATGTATACTTGAAATTGCAGAGATCCTTTTTTTTTTTAGTACCTTAAGGATAACACCTAAATTATATATCACTTCTTATGTGTGACCTGGCACAAACCAAACTGTAGGCACATTTAGCAAAGAGGGATTATGTAACCATTAAATAAAACATTCCAATCAATGTCTTGGCACACAGTAAGAGCTTCATAAAACATTCCCTCCCACTTGGGAGCATACTGGGAATCACACAGCAAGGTACGCTGCCCACAGTGAAAGTCTAATCACAGGACATAATTCTTCAATTGTCTCTCTTGAGTTTCTCTTAAGAAAGCAAGATGATCTATGTCCTCAGAAGAAGTTACTCTGTCTAAGCAATTTCATTGCATCTTAGGAAAAAGCAACCCTTCCCATTTTGCATGAATGATAGGCCCAAGTCCAAGACAATTACTCTGCACTCCTTTTGGGGTTCTCCAAAAATAGTTTATTTAGTTCAACTGCCATGAATCTCTAGTTCCCTACTGACCCAACACCAACCAGTTTTGCCTTGGGGTAAGCACACCTCTCCAGCCTGCAACAATTGCTTAGCTCAAAGGTGAGATCAAAAGAGGACTGTGTCCTAGTTTGGCCCATGGTTCAGCTCGGTTAAGGGGCGGACCCAGAAGTGGGGGTATTAGGAAACCTTCTGAACATTTGGGCCCGCCTAGGAGAGAGGGAAGCAGGTGGGGCCTCCTTCTCAGGAAATCACAGCACTGGATCCCAGAACTCATTTCTATCTGCCTTCTCTGACTGTGACCCAGCCTACCCAGTGAGTAACTCCATAGCATAGCCCTGTCTGCTCTCCAGGGAAGTGCCCTACACGCCCCCTACCCAGCCACGTCCTCCTACACTCATGTGTTGCTGGTGACCGGGGCCAACAAGGGCATCGGCTTTCCCATCACGCGCAACCTGTGCCGTCAGTTCTCAGGGGACGTGGTGCTCACGGCACGGGACACGGCGCTGGGCCAGGCAGCCGTGCAGCAGCTGCCGGCTGAGGGCCTGAGCCAGCGCTTCCACGAGCTGGACATCGATGACCTGCAGAGCATCCATGCCCTGCGGGACTTCCTGCACAACAAGTATGGGGGCCTTGACGTGCTGGTCAACAACGCAGGCATCATCTTCAGACCTAAGTGGATGTGAGCTTAGAGGGGAGGCAGCATCCACGAAGGCACCCAGCAGGGTGGGTTGGAGACTGAAATGCTGCTGCGGGGCCCTTTGCTTCTATGGGATCTAGAATTGATTCCCTAGGGAAAGACTTCAGAGTGGAGGCTACAAGGAGAACAGAATCCTCTGAAACTTCCAAGCTTTTCCAGCCAGAGAGCATTTGCAGTACCATGGAACTGACTCTTAGGGATCTCCTCCAGGTTTTCACACAATATCTGTTGGATTGGACTTGAGAGCAGTTCAGTGAGTTTTTAACATATTTTGAAATAAACAAGAAATTGTTAGAATGGTACACAGAGATCTCATTCTGCGCCTTTCACTTACCCTCCCCTAATGGTGCTGTCTTATGACAGTATAGAGCATGAACAAGCCAGAAAGTTGGCATTGCATAATACTGTTAACGTAACCCAGGCATTACTTGGAATTCACCAGATTGCGTGTGAAAAAAAAATTTTGTGTCATTCTCTGGACTTTCACCATGAGTACAGTTAAATTTATTAACTCTGTTCTCTCTCTCCCCTAAAAGATTCTGATTCCACACCTGTTCACATTCAAGCAGAAGTGACAATGAAAACAAACTTTTTTGGTACCCAAGATGTCTGCACAGAGCTACTGCCTCTCATACAACCCCAAGGTGAGTCTCATGAGGAGCAGAAGCTGTAGTCATTCTGGCATGATCTGGGCCTCCCTGCCTCTGAGCTCATCTACAAGCCCCTGCTACCTCTCCCTGCTCAGCTACACTGAACTCCTTGTTGTGTCTCCACCGTGCCAGGTGCCCATCTGCCTCAGGCTCTGTACACTCTAGTCCAGTGGTCATCAGTGCTCTTCGCCTGGTTGGTATTTGCACAACTGACTCTCTCTTATCTATCAGGTCTTCATTCAAAAGTCCACAGAGAGGCTCTTTACTTGCTCCATGCCCCTTACACATTGGTGATCCTTGAGGATTCCATCCTGGACCCTCTCTCTCCCCTCTCCCTCTCTCAGAATGATCTTATTCAGGCTAGTAGAGCCTTCACTACCCTCAATTCCTTAAGTCAAATCTCTCATCACTCTAGAACATTTCCACGCTTCCAGACACACATATTTGTCTTCCTGCCTCTCCATCTCTTCCAGAGCCCTCCCTTCATCTTCTGAGTTCCCCCATCCAAAACACACATTTCCAAAAAACACTTGTCCTTTCCTCAAATCATCTTGGTCATTGACCCCACCATCCACCAAACAGGATCCGGGAGGTCACAATGCCCACTCCCTTATTATAAATTACCAGGTTCTAGGAGTGGTCCTGTCAGTTTCTTTCCAAGGTTTCTCCTCCATCCAAGCACTGCAACAGACCCTCAGTGATCATTGCTGGACAATTGCAAATCCTCCTATGGGACCTCCCTTCTTGAGTCTTTTCCTTTCTGGACATTCTCTGTACTCTCTGCATGCTCGCTCCCCTCCTAGACATCCTTCAGCAGCAAAGTCCAAGCCCTTAGCAAGGCTTGGAGGGATCTCTGTAATCTGATCTTCCTAACACCTGGCTAATTTTAACTCCTTTTCAATATGCTCTGTTCTGGACAAAACAAACTATTGTATTTCTTTGGTTGTAAACCTCTGTAATACTTACTTGAAGGTAATGGGAGGTGGAGGGAAACCACCACCCATTAAATTCACCAATTAAGACAAGCAGATACTTTTAGAAAGATTAAGAGGTGTGGCTTGGAAATGAGTACACGCACATACAGTTTACTCACAATTCAGCCCAATTTCCCTGTCCTGTCCTCTGGAAAGTCCTGCTACTTCTTTGAACACTTGGTTCACTAGGGTCACAAAGGGCAGCTCTTTCAAAGTCACCTGACCCCTTCACTCACCCCAACACCTGAGGACAGCAATGGAGTTTCTTGTGCCACAACCACGCATTCCACATGTATTTCTCTTATAATCATACAGATGAATTCTGGCTGGACCTTTGTCTTACTTAACTGGGCTGTGTTAGTTCTTGCTGTGTCTGTGCTTTGTCCAGAAGGAGGAATGGGTGCACTCACAGATGTGCTAAGACAGGCTCTATTCAAACAACTGATCTTCCCTCACCAAAGATAGAGTTAATTAAAATGAAAATACATGCTATATTCTCAGTATAAAGCAAAATTTTCTTGCATTTTGAAATGGGAGCGTTCTCCATTATTTGGGGGGAAAGGCAGCCACTGAAGTTCATGTTATCATGACTTTATTCTATGCTCATTGGGGAAAAAAATGTGGAACAAGTCCTGCCTAGGGTAACCAAATGTAAATATTGTCCCTCCTCCCCATTATCTCAGATCCTAGGATACAGAGAATAATCTAGAGTGATTACCACAGAATTTCTGTGGGAGGCAGGAAACATCCAAAAGGGGAATGTGCAGTTTGTTCCTGATGTGGAAGGTGAAAAGAATAGAGTCTTGTGACCTTAAGCATTATTGAAGGGTAATAGATGAAGATTTCTTTTATTTTTAGTCTTTTCTTTAAAAAAGTTATTCTGAAATACCCTAGCCACACAAAAGACAGGAATCTACCCTGCCCAAGTACCCACCACGGAGCTTCACCAATCGATCAGTATCAGTACCATTTAAATCCCTTCACCCCTTCCCACCTCATTTCCCCACTGTTCCCCACAGTAAGCATCATCCTGAATTTGACGAATGCTCTCTTTAATGCTGGTAGACTGTTATTCTGCTTTCTTCTCTTTAAATTATAGTATATATTTATTTTGAAAAGATATTAAGGAAAAACCCTCTCTGAGGAATCAAGCAAACATTTGAAACCTGGAAACTCTTGTTCATCACATATTAGCTTGAAGAGTCCTGGGAGGACATAAACAGCCTTGTTAAGGCTACACTTACCAAGTAAACCTTTCAAGAAGTGCTATCAACCTTGATTTAAACAGGTACCACTTTTCAACTTCCTTATGAAAAATCACTAGAGGAAGTTGGGGGGCAAATTACTGTACTAAACATATCTTCCACCTCTGACAATGTGGTTCTACAACGGATGGGTGGACGGACCTTTCTTAATGTGATATGCTAGGAATTTTAGATATCGACCCGTTAAGAGCATGGAGGCATACTGGAATTCAAGCTCACATGCACAGCTGGGTGCAGACCTACGCCTTGTAACATCCAAGCTAATTGTTCTTGTCACTGCTCAATGGGCCTCAAATATTTTATGCAGACAATACTGTTCTTCACGTGAAGCCATACCCAGTCAGGCCGGAGTGACAGATGAGAAAGAAGACTCAGCTTGATTGGAGCCAATGTCTTTCTCAGCACAGGGCACCTCAAGGACACCCAAAGGTCTGCAGAAGACACATTATAAAACCCTGAAGTGTTTCATGAAAACCCCTTATCAATCCATAGATTTAACAATTTATGCTTACGAAAGCATAAAAGGTCCAGAGAACCACTTATACACTTAACACCTCTGAATAGACAACTAGAATCAACTAATGCTTTTGAAGTTTGTTACTGGAGATGAGACTATATCTAACATATATCCCTTGTCGTCCAGATCGCTTTGCTGCTGGTGTTTGATGATGACAGTTTGGAGAGTGAAGAAGAGGTGCTGGGGCAGAACCATTAGAGGATACTTATCCCAGAGTGCTTGAGCAGCTACTGTGTGTTAGGCCCTGGGGACATGGTCTATGTGTTTACATTTTTCCTTGTTTTCCTACACTTTTCTACTCTGTTTACACTTTTGAAGGAATACATGGCCTCCTTAAAATAAATCCCTGGTCAGATACAGAATAATGGCCTAGACAAATTGTACACCTGACACACACCCCAGCCCCACCTGTGAAAGAGTCCTTTCTTAGTTGGGTGACATACTTTTTTCATCAACGTGGAGTGACTATTAAAAGACCACTGTTTCACATACACACACACACACAGACACCCTTAGTATAAGAAAATCTGGATGGCCCATAACACCTCTTAGAGGATTAGTTGTGTGCATTCCAGCGCAGTGTCCCTGAACTGCATTCTGAAAGGGATGAGTCCACTCTGGAGATGAAACTCTTGGATCACAGCCTTTGCTGTTTAACCTCCAACAAGTGCTTGCTGCTTCATGCTTCCTGCTTCCCCCCTGTGTGTTTCCTGTCCTGTTGTAGGACTGGAAAGGTCCATAGTCACACCCAGCTCTGAGGAGAGGCACCCAGACAGCTCTTGGGGATTGGTCAGTGGGAGGGGCTGGTGTGGGGAAGAGGGACTGCGCTGTCGCACCCACAACCAGGAATTTACCTGCAAAGACCTCTGGACTCCCCAATCAGGCATCCCTACTATACACAGGTAAGTATTTTACCCAGCTGATTCTAGACTTCCTGAGAAAGAGAAGAGAATAAAAAAAGAAATCATCACTTCATTACAGTGTATGAACAGACAGAAAGTTAGTACAGATTCTCAGTCTACTATCTATACTAAAGTCTCTGAGAATATGATTTCAAAGCCGCATAAATAATTGTAGCTGCCTTTCTGGTAACCAGTTGCCCACTCTGGCTTCCTCTCTTGCTTTCTGTTTTTCTTCATATCCTGTCTGTTGCAATTTTGATTCATGAAACATGAATAAGTTTTATTATGAGAGAGGCAGATAATCTTTTTGAGAATGAATTAAATTCTCTTAGGACATTGGACTGTGCTTACTAAAACATTTCACAAACAGGTTCAGTTTACTCTTATACTTCACATGTCCTGATGGAAGGAAGGACTGGAATAATTGACCCACTTCTAAAATGCGTTCATCCTGGAAGACTGTTGGAAGATTAATAAGACAGTTTCTATACTTCATTCTAATTCTCTCAAAGATTGTTTATTGAAGGTCATAGTGCCATGGATTATCGTTTTTATTGAATTTTTTTTGCACTGCCATCCCTTTAGTAGGATGGAGCTTAAGTTAACCGATTTTGACAGTCTTCCCCAATACTTACATTAAAAAGGGAGAGTTTCCTAATCTGCTTGAATCTCTTTTTGGCAGTATGGTCTCATGATTTTTTTACAATGTTTAAAATATTCATTTAGATGTAAAAACAGTATATTCTTTCTTTATACATGTTAATATAAATTCATTTTTATGAATACTAACCATATTTTCCAAAAAAAAGTTAGGGAGAAATGGGTCATTGCTTTACACATTAACAGCTTTATTGAGATATAATTCACATACCATGCACTTCACTCATTTAGAGTATACAATTCAGTGGTTTTTGTTTTTTTATTTAGGTCACATTGGTTCATAATATTGTGTAAATTTCAGGTGTACATCATTATATTTCCGCTTCTGTATAGACTGCATCATGTTCACCACCAAAAATCTAATTTCCATCTGTCACATACATATGTGCCGCTTTACCCCTTTTGCCCTCCCACCATACCCACCCCTCTGGTAACCACCAATCTGTTCTCCTTAGCTATACATTTGTTTGTTTGTTTATCTTCCATATATAAGTGAAATCATACGGTATTTGTGTTTCTCTGTGTGACTTATTTCAGTTAACATAATACCCTTAATGTACACCCTTGTTATCATAAATGGCACAATTTCATCTTTTTTTATAGCCGAGTAGTATTCTATTATATATATATACCACATCTTCTTTATCCATTCATCTGTTGATGGGCACTCGGGTTG